TTACAGGCCTCTCTCATCTTTTTAAGTGGGAGAACTTGCACAATTGGTGGCTGACTAAATACTTTTTTGCCCCACTGTACATGTATCCATGTTTATTGAAGGTAGCTGTTTCTCCTTCTTTACCATTGTTCCTCTCCCTCTTTCCTCTAATAAATATTATCCTACAATATTTGGATCATCCTGTGCCTTGCTGCTAAGACACAACAGCACAGGTCTGGCTGGAGTATGATAAATAAATGTAGATGACCTTGATGGAAATATGCAGGAACCATTATCTTGGCAAAATGGGCTGAAACATTTTTTTAAGTCCAGGGAAACAAGATACAGGTAGTCATTTAATAACCGCAGTTGGGACCATCAACTTCATTGCTAAGCGATGCAGTAGTTAAGCACAACATCGTGTGACTGCAACTTATGACTTACTGGTGGCTTCTTCATTGACTTTGCTCATCGGAAGCCAGCTGTGAAGCTTGCAAATGGCGATCACATGACTGTGGGACGCTGCGACAGTTGTAAGTGCAAGGACTGGTCATAAAGGTACTTTTTTAGCACTATCATAAGTTTGGATAGTCATTAAATAGGGTGGTCATTAAATGAGGACTACCAGTAACATTCGGAAGTGGTTCAAGCAGATGCCTCCCTAAATTCACTGGAATTGAAAGAGGAGGAGGGACAGTACAATTAAGACTTGCAAGATCCTGTTATTATATTCAACCTCAATAAAAGTAGTTTTACCCTTCCTAAGGTATTGATTTCCTGGTCTGGTCTACTAGTGGGGATGACAGTAAACAAGATGGTTTCAAAGTTTTAGTGCAGAAAGGCAACTAAGATTTGATAACTCCTATTACTGGACTGCAAGAATTGAAGGATAAGATTTATTCAGAATGATCCAAAGCAATAGAAAAGGAGGAATAGCCACATTACCTGTTAAAATATCAACACCGATATTGAATTGACATGCCTTGAAAATCTCTGGGGTAAAATAAGTGGAGAAATGTTATGGTTGGCATCTGCTTATGTCCTTCCAAGTAAGAAAATATTGTTTTCCTTTAAAGATTTTTCAAAGAGGCATGAAGAGGACATTCTTTAAAGCTCTTCATGCAGTAAGTTGAACTCCTGAAGGCTAATTCAGCATTTTTGCCATTTGGCCAAGGCCAAATAACAACCGAAGTAACAAGGTCAGGAGCAGTTATTGCTTCCTTACCTATTATGGTGCAGTTGTGTTTTATTTTAGCTGTCCTCTTGTCACTGATTGCTGTATGTCTTGTCTGATATATGGATTTTAATACTCTTATTACTTGTGCACAGTCTTGCTATTTATTGAAAAAGTTTCTAAAATATATGAAAAGCATTGATATAAGACACTTCAAAGAGGCTTTTTCAGAGCCTTTCCTCTTCTAAGTATTATTGAGGCGAATTCATGGAATTCAAGGACTGCAGCTGTGTTAATGGTATGTTTACATTTTGCTAGCTGTTATATAAAGATAACCAAACAGATACATTTTTTCGGGGGGGGCATCAAAAACACTTATAAATGAATTCCCTTTAAAAGTTGATTCTGAACTTTTATTTGTACACATCAAATGGGCTAGTGTTTAGAATCAGGGTTAGAAATTAGAGTTTATAGTCAAGTGAAAAAACAAACAAACTATAACTCTGGTTGTAGAAAGATGTAGCAAAATAAAACTCTAAAATAAAATGACTGCGGACACAACTATATCTCTAGTCATGATTTTTAAAATTCTTTTTCTGGGGCTCTCTCTTAGGCATTTGTGGGCCATACTGGCAAAAATCCGACCCTGTACTCTTTTTCAGGTGAAATCTAAACTGAACCAATTACAGCCAAATTACAGCCAAAACCAGTTTAACTTGGAAAGGACAGCTTGCTGGTGTGTTCAATCATAATTCCTTTGGTTATAGTATTTACAAACATACCACAAATGGTAGTAGATTGGGGTATACACACACAAAGGCCCTTGCTCTAGACTGAAGAGTAGCTGCATCTACACAAAGGTTATTCTCAGCCAGCCTAACTGCCTTGAGGGATTGGAAAAGGAGGTGGGAATGTAAGAAAAGAGGTTAGCACGCACAAGCAAAATGGACATGTTAGAAATTGGGGGCGAGACATGCCTATGAATAAGAAAGATCTATGTGGGGATATAGACTTGCTTTGCCAACTGTGAATCTGAATCACACAATGTTTTTTTTGAAAAGGAGGAGTTGACCCTGTAAAGGTGTACATGCAAGTATTGAAGGGAGGAAGTGGCCAACATTTGGTTGCAGTGCCTCAGGCAACATACACAATACTCACACCAGGGTTCCTCATATCCTAGCAATGCACATATATACTGAGTCCCTTCTCACAAATACCAAATGCGAAAAAGTGGGGCTGTGACCTCTTTGCATCCTGACAACAGTGCTGGCCTATGGTCTTCTCTGGCAATCTGTGAATGTGTAAAGTAGTTCAGCTCTGTGTCTACTTTTTATAATTTTATATACAAAATACATTCTCCTCTAGAATGATATGGATATCTAACCCTGCCAAATTACTAAATGAAATGAAAAGAATATGGGAAGCAAATATTTTTATTAACAATTTTGAACAAAATAGCTAGGAAAGACTATTCTTCCCACAACCTCCATTATCATAATTTTTACTCTTATGAAATATAACAAAAAAAATCCACTTAAAATAAACATAAAATTCCAGTGTCACAAATTCACTTTGAGGCAAGAGAACAATACACTAAGAATTATATATTTTTCTCTTATGAAAGATAATAAAACTAAGATAAAAAAATAAAATTTGCAAACTTCCCAATGGCACATCATAAGCTTTTGGAAGTCAGATATATGACACTCCCCCACCCTTACTGAAATTATTTAAAGGGCTTAAATCTACTTTCCAATCTATAGCAGAAAATATTCTGTCAAATCCCCATTCTGATTGGCAATCTGCAACAAATTAAATTACTTTTCCATACTGAAAAATATCTTATTGCTTTGCTTTTCCCTGAGTACTATTAGAAAGCACAGCTTAATAACCTTAACTCTTTGAAAAGGGTGGGGAATTAAGCCCATGGGGAAATGTGATAAAGTGGTCAACTAACAGGGATTCCCCCTGCCCCCCACCCCAAATCACTAAATGGTGGGTCTCACAATATGATTCTGCATTTACAAGATTAACTCCAGGAAGCAGAACAGCTACCAGGCAACCAATAAAGCTTTTGGTGCAACCAATCAAGCTGCTTAAATCCCACCCATTTAGTTGAAATCTTATTGCAGGTGAAAGGCCCTCACTATGCCAATTCAGACATCTGACATGTCATTGTCAAATACTTGTACAACAGGAGGGCAGGATTGCAGGGGGTGGGGCTGGGACCACTGAATATGATGTACCTGCTTCTGAAATAAAATGAACAATTAAAACTTAGGCCAGAAAAATAAGGTTATACGCAGGAAGATCAAAGTTGCCTCAAATGTGATAAAATGTTGATGTTTAGGCCATGAAGGAACATTGATTGCTCAAAACGTGATCCCCAATATTACAAAGCATTTTCTTCCCCAGGAGTGAATGCATCTTTTTACTCTTCAAGAAGAAAATGAAAGGCAGCATGGAAATACACCGTGTGAACCCAACCTTCTGGCTTTCCAGATCACTGTGACATCGACATCAGAAGCATCTCTAGAAATTTATCTTTTTCTGGAGGAGGTTACACACTTTCCTATGGGAAAAAAAATGAATACTGGCATATGGAAGCTCTGGTGGGAAGCAAAATACGCACCTTCCAATCCGCAGTACTGTGGCAGGGATAAGGTTTTTGCCTCTCAAGAGTTATGGAGACTAAAGGATATACCACTTGCAATCCCTGGTAAAACAAAGCACAGCCAAGTATCCCAAAGTAAGGCCACCTATTGTTTTACAGGAATAAGTTCAGCCATTCAATTATTTGGGAGAAAACAAAGACTGCACAAAGCAGTACTGTACCAGGATAAAAGTTAAATCCTGCTGAACAGCAGCCCCAAATACAGCCATTTACTTTCTATCCAGATGGATAGAAAGTAGGATTTCATTGTGCTCGGCTTTGAGAATAATTCTTCCCAAATCCAAATTTTATCCAAAAAGTGTGTGTGTGTGTGTACACACACACACACACACAATGTTCAAAAAGTTCTACATCATTAGGCTGTGCCGAACTTCAGATCTGATTTATAAAAAAAAGTGTTTTTGATCATGCTTGGGCTTTAACACCTATCTGCAACTCTTTATAACAGCATCTTTTCCCAGATTATGCAATAACTCCCAACGATCCCAGGAGAAGAAAAGCTGCTTTAAAGACTAGCAGCCAGGTGCTATCTGTGCATTCTCACATGCTCTGAAGCATCTCTTTGGAATCAACTCAGAAGCAATGCACTATTCAAAATATGAAAAACAAGCTTGTAGTAATGGGGTGGGGTATAGAAGCAGCCTGTAGCCTGATTCAATCAGTGGTGCTACACTCCCCCCCCACACATGGATTTTAAATGCAGCTATTATGTGTGCATGAGTAACCAACCCCAAGTTATTTATTTCTATGGAAGAAAAAGCTGTCTGATGACTTTCTGCCAACTGTCTTATGTGGTGGTCTAATTTTACTGAGCAAGGATTCCTCAAGTATAGCACATACCCTTTTCATGGGAGTGACAATAGCAATTCCCTAGCAATTATCTAGGGAAGCACATAAAGCCTGCATTTGAGGAATAGGGTACAAATTTGGTGTTTGCCAAAGGGAGTTCGGTAGCAGTATATTGTTCCACCAGTCATATCCCTAAATATTATCATTCATTTTCTTTCATGAGATGGCATATTAACTCCAAGAAAAAAACTGATATTACCACCATCCTTACTCTCCAAACCAAAAGTGATTTGACAATACCATTAAAGAGTTAGCAGCTCTGTGTTGAATGAGGAGCTGGGTATCTGTGAAAAGGAAATATGTTTATGTGCTTCATGGGGTGAAGGAAAAGACCATGGCCATTCTAAAGTAAGCAACATATTCTTGGAAGATGAGAGGAAGAAGAGATGACACTTTAGTGATAATTCCTGATGAAGAGATAGGAACGTGTACATTTGCTTTTTCTTCTTGCAGAATCCTTTAGTTATGCTGTTTAGTACCAATATGGCACTTCACTTTCCTCTATATTGAACTTTCCATGCAAACTCCCATTAGTCTTAAATGGAACGTAAAAACATAGTTATTAAAAAAATACAGTAAATTCTCATTCAATGAGCTTTCCAGATTTATCAAAAAAAGATAACAATATAAGAATATGCGTTATATCTATGGGGGGAAAGTGAAGATGAGTAGAGAAAGTATTCACGTGATTGTTAGCAATCCCAGATGAATTGTATGAAAATACATTTCCTCAATTTCTGGATATAATGAATGGTATTAATCACGTTAAACAGCTGCCAGCATCCAATGATTTGTCCTGCAAGTTTTCAGATGTTCGTAACACATATCCGACACCCATCATATTAATTCCAACATGAATGCTGACAATCACCCAATGCTGAAATTTGTCTTTTTGTCTTTCTGCCACAGATGTGTTATGGGAGAAAGACGACTGGGAGATAGTGATTGGTTAACCTGACGTACTCCCTGAAAGAACACATGAACAATTTTAGCAGTATCCATATGTTATTTTCCTTTTATCTTCACTGAAGTTCCTTGTAAAACAAATTTCATACAAAAATAGTTGTACTGGCAAAGTAGCCTTATGGGACGGGGGGCTCCAGCCCTCTTCCGCCACTATATAGCAATTAAGATACATCGATTTATATATCAGCCTCCAAAGCAAGCAAGCAAGCTTTAATTTATGTGAAGCTTAAGTGGCATATTCCATACCATGTGCTATATTATACAGTACAAAGGACTTTGCCACAAAAGATAAAATGTATGCATACTTCTGCTAGTCAGTCTTCCCTGAACAGTATTCAGTGAAGAAACACAATCCCAGCTTCATTCCTCTGGAGTTGCAGTGAGCATTTTCACTCAAACTAAAGAGGGCTTAACATCCCTTTCTGAGGCTGAGTAAATCACTTTATTAATCTTAGTTCAAAAGCATGCAGGGATAGATGCAGCAGCAGCAGCAAACTATCCATACTTTCTTTCTTGATAGGTCATTGATATTACCACTTCAATAATAAGAGTTTGTATTAAAAGGGGGAATAGCAGCAGAGCAGCAAAATGATCTCAATTCAAGGAGAAAATTCTCCACAATGCTTGCACAGTGTCACCACAGTGATATAATGACCTCAGAGTCATTTTCTTCTCCAGCATTAGATAGCAAATAAGAAAAGAAGATGCACAATACTCGGGAGAAAGACAAATCTAGTTAAGAAATCCAATGATTCTCCCTTCTATAGTTGAAGGCATCAGCTCATTCTATTAGCACTAATGAAGAGGAGGCTTTTGAGAAAAAAAACTCTTGGGGTATGGACCAATCTGCCCAATCAAAGAGTTATTTTAAAAAGTCATAATTAAGGCAGTTTGTTGCGTTCCTGCTTTGGCAACCTCAATACAGTGAGATACGTGGGCAGATCAGGTTCTGGCCTTTAGCCTCTCTTCTGTGCCGCATCTTTCTTCTTGGGAATGTATTCCCCATCCTGCCTGCAGGGAAGTAGATAAATACAGCACAAACTCCCACCTTTGCTCCAAGCATGTTACTAAGTCAGCAAAAAGCTTTGCATTTCTGATTCTGAGACAAAAAGAAGGCAGGTGGCAAATTCAAGATTAAAAGAATATGATCACAGATTCAAAGATCTTGCAAAACAGCCCTAGAAGAGGACAGGCTGAAGTGATTAAATTGTTTGCTTCTTCATCCCATGTACATAAGTGTGAAAGGAAAAACTGCAAAGTGACTCAGTGTTGTTTCAACTCCTTTGTAAAACAGGTTTCATGCCAAAAGCACTGGTCCTGGCTGTCACCAGCTCTAATTTTGACGACTGCTTGCCCCCTTAGTAGTTTCATCAAGAGTTTCTTCAATGACTTCTACATCCTCATCCTTTTTCAGCTCTCTGTGTGGTTTTTTTGAAACAAGAGCATCTTCCTTGACCAACTCTGAAGCTAGTAATGATGTGACTGCACAGCCTACATTTCTGTTTCCTGGAATGACAGAGAAACAAACAAACAAAGATAAAATATTAAAAAACAGAAAAAGCAAATCTACACTGAAGGTCACACTGCATAACATACTAGGCAATCTCTCTCAAATACTGTTTCAATTTATACTTGCTCATAGAAGGCCTAAAGAACTACAAAGGATTGGGGCAGCTACAATGAAAAACCCACTATAGTGAGACACAGCAACATGTGTGACCTGGAGTGTGTGGAGCCTCTAGAAAATGGTGACAAAGCAAGTAAAAAATGATTTTTTTCTAGGACAGATTTTAAAGTTTTCCTTTGCAAAATCTGAAGTTATGATTATACATGTAATTAAGTATTTTGGTATACTATTTGCAGTATTTTTGGTCACAAAAATATACAAAGAGAGGAGATTATTAGTATTGTATGAGAGTCTCTGAAAAAATGATTTTATGAGGACTTTATATTACAGCAAAATCACACTATTTCCATAATCTCACTCTTATGCTTTAAGTTATATATTAATGTTTCCATTTTTTTCATTCTCAAAAGAATGCCCTGCTGAGTATATTACAGCCTTTATAAAATATATTTTTATTATATCAAACTAATTGACAAAAAAAATATGTACCTGGAACAGCATTGCCAATATAACGTATAGCATCAAAGTGTATTGTCATAATATCAAAAAGAAAAAAAAGGCTGGAAACTTACAAGCAGAAAACTAAATTCATTTCCTTTGCTGGAATTTCCCCCTCCCCCCACAAAAGCTGACAAATATATTAACAAACTACTATTGCAAATCAGGTGCAAATCTCTTCTTTCAGAACTGTAAAGTACAGCCCTATCCACATAAATTCTACAGTTCTTATTCTGATGGCAGATTCCAAATACTGGGGATATAGCCAAAAGGAGCATACACATCTTTAATACACAGTGATTGGTCCCCCCCCCCAAAAAAGCATGATCATGTTGATATCCACTCAACATGCAGTAATAGTAGAATCAGAACATATTAATGGACGTTCTAACTCCTGAATTGCATCTCCAAGAGCAAGGTGATTCTGGCAATGCCTCAGTAAACATTATTTGAGATGTCCAATACACACAAAACAAAATAATTTTAAGATCATAGGATACTACTTTTGTTTTATTCACAGCAGTACTCTGATTTAGCAGGACTAAATCTTCAGGCTCATTATTCTAGAAATTACAGAAATAACTAACATTAATTATATCAATCAATTTCTTATAGATGGTTTGGGAGGTATGTTAAGTTTCTCCAAAATCTCCAACCACACAATTAATCTGGATCAAATAGTTTAAATAACAAATGTTTAAGTTAAGAACTGCCAAGAAGTTCTCTGAGGTAAGTCAACTTTATGTTTAAATTCTGTTCAAGATTTCAAAATAGCTTTCACAAGAGTGATATAATCCAAAATGCCCAGTTTATTCAGGTTGGATTTATTCCCTCTTTCTCTTTGTTTCTTTTGTGCAGGCAATGAAACTGATGACTTGCCAGATTTCCAAGAGATAAAGTAGTAACTTTAGTAGTCCCTTATTCTAACCAGTGAGCTTCCTGGAAATTCTTATGTTAAACAAAGGAATCACAACATAACCTAAACCCCCAAGCTTAAACTCATCAGAATTATTTTTATGTCTCAGTGGAATTAAGTCTGATGTATTCTCATTTATGGTATAAACAGACAGGATACCAAATTTCTGTACTGATACAATTTCATGTTCCGTACTGATTAAGAACATGATCTGCTGTAATTCCAATCATTTAATCTGTCTTTAGAACTTTTGCCTATAGTGTATATTTAGAAATGTTTTCAGAATTATAGGCAAAAAATTCTAAAGACAGATTTAAAAGAAAGGGAGCAAATTGCAGTGAGAATTTATTGAAACTAAAGAGACAACATAAGATAACTGATCTGGTCCAATGATAGTTGTGGTAATCTCACTTGAAAAAGAACTGAAATTACAGAGTTTAGAATTTTAAAAAATGGTTGATTTATAGATTTTGAATCTGCATCCACTTTCCTTTCTATATATAGCTCATTAATAATATAACAACATAACAAAACAATATAAACTATATTTGTTACAGTCTGAAGGTGAATAACTTCTAGACTTCTGGTTTTCCCACTTTATTACCTAGAGTTTTGTTCCTTTTCCCAAAAACATTACCTGATGTAATGTAATTAAAATTCTGTTTTGGAAAAATAAAGCTTTTTAATTTCATATATATCAGAGACTAGAAACCTGTTTTGCTTAGGAGATGGATGGAATACATAAAGAGTTGGTAATTCTTTAATTTGTCCCCTAAGACTTTATGTCTTGCTAATTGTTGCTTCTTTTATAAGACTCATATGAAATAATTCAAACTTAAATTAATGGTTTAGCAGTATCCTACACCAACGGCAGTGATATAACTAAACCCCTGTTAATACAAAAAAACCCTCTACTATTCCCCATTCCATCTGCTTAATGACATCTTTATCTGCCATGCCAGCTTCAGCCCTTACAGAGGGTCAGGACATCCCATACCCTCCCCCTCAGCATAGTGTTTTATGAGTGGCAGGAGTCAGCAATATAGAAATAAATCAGGGGCACACTTGGAATACACTGATGTACAAGCTCAATAAGCTATCTGGTTATTATTGTCATTCAAAATCATGACTATTTTTTTTATTTGCATAGCCCTATGCTGGCCTTATTTCTTGGTTTCTATAAAGTCTGTATGTATAGCCTGTTCTTCTTTAAAGAGTTCAAAATAATGAACATGGGCTTTCCCCATTTTATCCCTACAATCACCATCTATGGGCCAGTGACTGACAGTTCAACCCTGAGCTACACATGTTCGCTTCTATTAGTACTGAATTTCATGGATAAACAAAATTTGAATAACCTGATCCAATAACTATATTCTACATCATACTGGTCTCTCTTATATTATGTATGAACTACATGGTTCTTGTTATTTTCACAATGCAAATAGAAATTTCTTTCTATTCAATTCTGTCTTCCACTCCCCAAAATTTAGAGCTGGTTCACAAAGGTGCTCTGAGAAAAATGGTTATTTCATACTTGTTTTGAAGATGTTTGAGCAAAACCATACCTTGGCGTGGTCCTCTTTTTCTACGGAAGGCTGCACCTGACTGTAAGGCTTCTAGTAGGCTGTCCATAACTCCTGTTTCATCACCTTCTGCAAGAACAAAAAACGGAGACTTCTTGTTATTTTCACTGCCACCTACACCTAAGGAGTAGCATTATGGACTCAAGACTATGGGCATTCTGGAGTGTGTATAAAGAGAATAAAATTCTCAATTAAAATACTCCTTGAGAAAAACAAAAAAGAGCTGATCATGTGTGAAAATTTACTATATGAAGACAGACTACACAAAAATGCTTCTCAAGGTACTTTCCTTTGTCTTAAATTGGGAGATACTTTTTATAAAATGAAAATGCACAAGGGAGGACTTAAAAAAGAATAATTTTTTAAAAATTTCTTCCTCAAAAAGTTTCTGATGGACATTTCCTTCAGTCAACATGTATCTGTTTTATAAACATGTAATTGTTGATTTGGATATAAAGCAGGGATAACCAAGAGAAATTCCTTATAACAACCTACCTCTTCCTTTGTATGTCACAGACTTTCTACTGAGTTCCAATAGACTTTAATAGCCCAGCTATGGCATTACTCTGCTGCCTTGAAATGATTAGCACCCTGAGGGTTCAGTGTTATGCATTTTCCACTGATCTACTTTTCACTCTCCACAGCAGTCTGAGTATTAAGAAGACTGGCTGAAGCAGGCCGGTTAATGTTTCCCTAGCAACAAACAGATTCCTGGTCCAAAAAGCAGGAACAGGAACAGCACCTGCATTGCTCCTGTGATAAAGACTGTGTTTTGCCAATGCCTTCTTCTGCTAGACAAGTAGCTGAGCATCTCTGGGGACAATCATAAAAATACTTAAATGCAGGCTTAAGAAAAAGAACAAATGGATTAAACTGTAACTTGGCATTCTTTCAATAGGAGCAGGAAAGCCAGCACTATCCTAGAGGAAAGGAAGTATAATAGAATAAGAACTATTGAGGGGGTTCAAACTTTTGAAAATAAATCATACAGGGTCTTTAACACAGACTCTACCAGCTATAAGTTTAAAAGAAAGAGCTACAATACTTCCATCCATTTGTATGTGTCCCTCCCCCAAATCTCATCAGCCTGGCACGGAATGTGTTAACTGCAACTTCATGAGCAGCCTGCAAAATCTGGTTTCCATAGGAACAGCTCCTGACAAAACATAAACCTATAAAATCACATTAGAACATCTGCTTGGTTTTAGGTAGACTGAATTGATTGTTTGTACTGCCACCTGCTGGCAAATATAAACTGCTGAGTGTTACCAATCCATTCTGGAAGCCTTCATTAATGCCTTCAAGAACAGCAAGTGAAAACTGCAGAGAAATTGCCACAGAAATCCCCTTTTCCAACTCCACTAGAAAGACTCCATGGCATGGTTAAGAGAAAGGAAGAGCCCCTGGTTACAGATGGCTCCAACACTTCAGCTGGTTATGAAGCACAGCTTTATAGAACTGGAATTAAAAGGCGTGCAATGCAGCTGCTTGTTTCCAGATTACTTAAGCAAAGGAAGTACACTCCATTCAGTATACGTTATGTAGACATTTTGAAAGCCATGTTTAGCCCCAGATATACATGTGTGCATACTCACACTCAGTATTTTTGCTGATGCAACCTCATGTGAAACGTCACATAAATGATGCAATTATATAAGGGATGATAGACCAGCTGCTCATTTGTGACCACAATTACTGTCTTTTTAGTAAACGCAACAAAGTGACAATGAGTTGGCAACATATTTGTACACCTTCCCTCCCCCCAATCTTTTCTGAAGCTGACACTGCTTTTAGAAACATATTGTTCAGGGAATACAGCTTAGCCATCCCCTGAAAGAAACGGATACAAAGGAGTTCAGAGCCATCTGGCAATCAAAAAGAGCCACATGATTGGCGATGGAAAAAACACAAGTCACAGAGGCAGCTAAGTGGGCATCCCATCTGCCTGCTGACACATTTGAGGAAAAGTCGGTCATCAAAGGCAAAACTTAAATACTCCCTTATTTTTTCCTCTTGCTCCTCCACCTTGATTACCTAACCCGCATAATGTTTTGGGGCTTCCCAAAGAATTATACAAGAACATCAGTAGCACTAAGAGATGTGCAAGACAGGGGTGTTTGGGTCCTTTTGGATCAGGGTAAAAAAAGCAGAAAACCACTGTTACAATACAGGGTTTCCTTGATTTGAGAAGGATTTTAAGGTCTTGTCCCTAAAGTTAAAAGAAACATGGGCTGGGGGTGGGCGCAAGCAGGGAAAGGCTCCTTCCTCAGAGCAATTGAAGAGGTGTCACTACAAGCAGCAAGAAATAATTGTGCCAGAACGGGAATGGTTCTGTGAGAATTATGGAGTCCTTTAAAGCCCTTTTAGCCTTCCTTCATCCTGCCAAGTGCAGATTCTTTGCAGATATATTAAACGTTGCAGTGTTTCACCACAGTAACTCAAGACAAAGTTGTGGGGGAAGGGGAAAAGAATGTGAGGAAAACCAAATGGCATGTCATTTAGCACAACTTCAAGCAATGCAAAAGGAGAGAGAACTGGCAGGAAATTGTGGGAGTCAGGAAATAGAGAGGGATGGTAATTGAGTCCATATGTTCCAAGAAAGGGGCAGCCGAGTTTTTTTGCTGTAGCAAAAAAAGAAGAGAAAAACCAAGAGTCATATGACGTCTTAAACACTAATAAATGTATCATCACATAAGCTTTTGTGGCTTCTAGGCCACTTCATCAGATGTATGAAGAAAGATCTTGGGAGAGGGACTGCCTGTGTGTGCACAGTTAATTATTAGGGGAGAGGAGGGCAAGAGAGGGGGGATGGTGGGAAAAGGCAGAATTGTTTCAGAAGATAAGAGACAGAAACAAAGCAGCTTTAGATGTTAATAATGAATAATAGCAAAAATAGCACAGACTCTTCTTTCCAGCTGTCAGATCTTTGCAGCAAAAACTACAGATCTTTATCATCTCAAAGACCATTACATCTTGTAGTAAAGGAATGCATTAAGCAGCAAAGAGAAGATTATCCCCTTGTACAAGAAAGTAGCATAGAATGGAGTACTGTAGTCCAGAAGATTTAACTTCTGAAGTGGGCCACTTAATTTATCAGAACTGTAATCTCAAAAATCTGCACTAATATATGAAGGTGAAGCGAACTATTAGAAATATAAACTGGCCAATGTTAATATAAGCCAATGGATCCATAGATAATGTAGCCTTCATTAATGCCTTCAAGAAACAAGAGCAAGGGAACACTTGCTACAATATGAAAGTAAGATCTATGAAAAAATCTGATTAAGTAATCTGTTTTTTATCAATCAGACAAGGGTTGTGCAATGTGCTTGTATTTGTACCTCACAATCTATTTATACAATGTGCTAAGACTCACACTCTAAGAAATGAACAGGGAGAAATTTCATTATTACACTAAATACAAGAATTAACTATATTTAATAGACAGAAACTTTTACTGCATGTGAACATGGTAAACATGTACCAAAAAGCTGCACTCAAATAGCTCCTTCCCCATATGTGTGATTTATATTAATTTCTGCCACAAATTTCTATGTAGAATACATATGTATCAAGGACGCTTCAAGAGGAAGTTTTTATTATGCAATTCCATCTTTCAAACATGGATGGGGGGGGGGGGTGTTTCCAAACATGAATTAGTGAATTAATGGATGGATGTGTGTATATCGTTTTCCACAAAAAGAGAGAGAGAGATATATTTTTATTTACAAATATCTGGCCATCTGGAAGCATCTTTAAACACTATATATAAACCTGAAAACTGTTACTGCTGGGGGCCTATGTGATTATTTAAGAGTGAGATTAAAAAATACACAAATATATAGTGTCAATCTGAAGAGCTGAATTTACATAGCACTTCCATGTGGAGAATCACTGTACTTCTGAATACCAACTGCTAGGTGGCAAAGAATATAGGAATTGCTATGGCCTTCATATCCCTTTTGAGTGCTTTCTGGAGCACTCTGGCTGCAATTGTGGGGAATTTATTTTGCGCCCAAAATTTATTATATGGTCCACAATGTGGTCCACATTATATTCACATATGCTACATGCACTCTTTCTCTCCAATTCCCTAGTGTCCCCCACCAAAAGCAGACTTTAAAAATAATATTTTATTAAACTTGTAGGCTGCCTGACTCCCAACGATTCCAGACAGCTCATAATAATCAAAGAAATTACAATAAAATCAATAAAAGATGGCAAGCGCGACAAACCAGATGGAAAGAAGCAAGAGGTCTCACTTTCCCTCACCAAAGGCCTAGGTGAAGAGCCAGGTCTTCATGGCTCTTCTGAACAACAGCAGAGTGGGGACCATCCAGATCTGGGGGGAGAACCTCATTCCAGAGGGCAGGCACTACTAAGAGAAGGCACATTTCCAGGGTCTTTATAGATGACATTGTTTAATTGAAGGAACCAAGAACACACCAACCCTGCAATATCAAATTGACCAGGCAATGCAGGCTATTTTAAATCTGTTAGGTATAGACAGTAGTTCTCACAGTCAAGCAGCTGCTGACCAGAAATGATCACTTTTTTCCTTTTGCTGGGATCAGTTTGGACAGGGGAGTAAGAGGCAAGAGGACAAGGCAAGACAAGGGAGACTGAGACCTTAGTAAAGAGCTTGCAGACCAGATGGGAAATCCCTACAGACTTTATTTGGCCCACAGTGAAGACTAGATGGACCCTGAGTCACATTCAAATAGTGTCCTTATGATATTGCCAAGGAAGAGGAAGCATTCTTCTTCCCTTTGTGGATAGTTTTCATACACGTCACAATATTCATTGTACAGTACCTGCATTCATATCAATCAGTTGTTCTCTCTTCTTTTGCTTCTCTTGACGTTCCTTCTCTGCTTTTTCTTTTGCTAGTTTAGCTCTGCGCATTTTCTCCTCCATCTCACGCCTTTTCTGGTTTTCCTTCACAGCTTGCTGAAAATAAGACAGGTGATAAGATACACAAGTGGAGAGTCATAACAATGAAATGCATATCACATTTTTTGTTCAGCAGAATAAAAAATGCAATGCTGGCTACCATGTAAGACAAGGTAAGTAAAGAGTGATGGATTTATGAATGATAGGTTTATTTATTGCTTTTATCCATAAAAATTAATGGATGGAATCACAAAATATACAAGTAATGTATTCCTGAGCACCAGATATTGGATGACATACAACAGCATAATTACTCACATTTCACAGATAAAAACAGTGAGATATAACAAGTATCACTGTTTAAATACAACCCTACCTCAGTAAGCCCTTACCTATATACTATACTTCTTCTCTGGCTTATGTTGTTTTAGTAAACTAATGAACACAACTTAAAAAAAAAAAACCTTTTGAGTGTTTGGATTTATAATGGATACTGACATACTTTCATAGAACAGTTGCAACCTGAACACATTTAGCAGTATTTGTTATCTGAATAAATATTGACCTATTTTTCGAGATTTTGTCTCTAGGTAGCCTTCTGTAATCCAGCAAACACACTGCACCACAATTCCTATCAATCTCAACCAGCTTACAGTATGGGTAGTGTTGACAAGAGTCATATGACTCTTAATTATAATCCTAGAGTCCTTGGGAAATATGGTGGTATTAAAATATTAAAACATTAAGCAAGCAAGCAAGCAAATAAATAAATCAAGTGCAGAAGGTAAAGGTGAAAGACCAAAAATCCAAGAACATATAAAACACAACATAGTAGCAAATATGCAACATATGCAACAGAAAATGTGCCATGCGATCTGAGATTGTTTCAAAGTATTTTTCTTGTTGCTTTGTCTGATATCAAAAACACAGCCCATATAAACAGAGGCTCATATTGTAATTTAAAAAGAGAGATGGATGCTCACCACAAACATATTTTTGAAATTGCGCAGATTTGTGAAGAACTCCTCAATGGATATCTTATTGGTGTCAAAGAGGAAGTATTGTCCTAATTCCTTATAAAGGCTTTCCATATTTGCATGCATCATTCGTAGCTTCTCATACTGTTCTTGGGCTCCTTTAACAAAGCTGTAAGACTCAAGTTAAAGACTTCAACTGTTGTAAATATACTTTCTGAGCATAAGTTGACTTTTTTAAAGTTGCTAAGAGTTTGGCATTTTCTATTTTAGTATGTTTCAGATTCCTATCCCACCTTTTTATACAAAACGCAGCTTGACAAAATTACACCGTATAATTACATTAGAACTGTGTTTAATCCCTCTAAGTTAGCAAAGCTCTTCTTCTGCAAAGTAAATTCTGATTAGGTCACTGTGATTCCCCTCATTTTCATACTCCACTGACTTCTAGCCATTGGAAAGGCCATGACTGACTGCAAATAATTTACTTCCATGACTGCAACTCTTTTCATAGTGTACAAAGGGAGGACTCAGTTACAGCTATTGGACCCAAGGGCCCTTTTAAATAATCACAGCTATTTAAAAGTTTTTAATTTACTGATATGGTGTGATTTTTAAATTTTATTTTAAATATATTGTGAGTTATTAATTCATAATTTATATATTTTAAAGAAAAAGGTAAAATGATTCAATAAATAAATGAATAAGCAGCCTTCCAATGCACAAGAACATCTGGATACTTGCTGCCTCGTCTTACCAATCATCATCTGTTGGAATAACATCAAAAAATGTGAGGGCTACAAGCACTCTTTCCAGCTTATTGGGTTCTCTCTGAACACCAAAATGAGCTCATTTCTAGCTGCATCATCTCCTGCATTTCTGGTGATCATAACACCCTTATCTCATATGTTCAAGATTACAATAAAGAGAATCTTCTGTATTTGTTTTACATGGCTACTACTTTTTTAGAATCCTTTTTGATCCTCCCTTGCAAAGGCTATAATGTAGAATCCATAAATTCCATCCATGACTTATGGTGCAGCCACTTCTATTAAAAATGCTTTACTATGAATTTTTGTCCTCTGAGAATTTTGAGGGCATTCTCTACCTTGAAATGGTGCCTATCCTGGAGTGAGTAAGCAGGATCCAATCTGATATAATCTCTCCAGGAGAGAAGTCATTGAATTTCATGACCAGACTGGAAGAGCAGATTAACACCAATCTTAGGACTGTCTGAAGTAGTTGGAACAAAAAGACCACCACGCCTTATATTCCTCTTATCCCTTTCTGTCACAGGAAAAGCTTTTTTTTTTTTTTGTCCTTAGTTTTGACCAGGACAGCATCAAGAGGTTCCTCACAAAGCCTTATTTCTATGAAAGGAATGATGCCAAAATTTATATAAATCCCAGTTTTGCAGCATGAGACTTCTCCTAGTCGGGAGGAACCCAAATCAAATTAAATCAAACTATCAATCAGTCAGTCAATCAATCGATAGGTAATCATTTTCAAAACTGCATAGTGATCCTGAAAAAAGCTGCTTTAACTGATAGCACAAAGGTGCTATGCTCCTGTGACGTCCAAAGCATTTCTTTCAAATCATTTTCAAGAAGTTCACAGTCTTAATCACTACTTGCACTAGAAAGAAATGCTATCCCAAAGTGGAGAATGGCCTTTGGGGGACTTAGATTTCTCTATTACGAGCAAATAGTTCTAGCTATCCTCCACTCGGCATTTATTCATATACAAAAATAGTTATCTATGTATTAATGTGTAAGTCTGTTCCTCTGCAAACCATTATTCTGTAACATTTGATAACTGAACTTTTGGTAGGAACTCTACCCCCTCATATAGCACATTTGTTTGCCATCTTCCAAGTTCCTAAAACTATTTAATTCTATATGACTTACTTCTATAGAAGAAGAAAAGAGCACCCAAAGCAAGGAAAGGTGGACAAGTTGGGTAAAATGCAATGACACTCAAAATAAATAAACCAGTCACAGGTAAGCAATCTATTGTTATTCATCAAGTCGATTCATCTCTCACATTGGAGAATAGCAGAATTACTTAGAAGATGGGCCAAGAAGTCCTCAACAAAAGATTATCCAATCCTTCCTAGGACTTTCTAAAGATAACATCTTACAAATGTAGATAAGTGATAATCAAATGCTAATATCTGAAATGAACACCCTCTTAGCAAATTTTGTAGAAGCTGTTCTTGTAGAAATGACTTACTGCAGGTGGGAGAGGTACATATGCCAGGCAAGATGGTAAAATGGTATTAACAGCCCACTGAGAAAATGCTGCCAAATTTCAGCCTTTCATAACAAATAACTTCTGAATTTGCTAAGCAAGATAAAAAGTGAGCATATCCATTCAAATAATGTTTCCAAAACTCTTTTCACTGTTGGGAGAAGGGGAAGACAATATTCTGCTGAAATGAGGAACAGATATTCACCTTCTGTGATTAGAAATTTCTAATCACAATGTCACTTTGTCTTTGTCCCATGCTAAGTAAGATACATAAATCTAGAGGGCAAGATACTTGTTTGTCACATTGAGACCACTACCAAAAATTAATTTTTCTAAACAATATCCAAAGAGAAATGGTAGCCAGAGAGCAAGTGCTTTAGATATTGTGTTAAAATCACTCAAAGCCTCAACTGAGGAATCAATTATGGTATTTTTGGATATAATTTGTGCAATTTTGCCCAATGTCATTTAACCATAGGATGAAAAACTGAAAAAGGGAGATGGCAAATGTCCATGCTATACAAATGTATCTAAGGAGACAGATTTCTGCCAGAAATTCAGCTATGGAAAGTTTTGGAAAAATAGGTTATACAGGTGCAAACCCAGATCCACAGAGACTATAATCTTTCTTGATTCATACTTGGTTCTGCTGCCCGCAGAATCACATAAAGAGACACTAAGAAGAGCGTTTGGTGTTTTCAATAATCCAAATGGGAAACTACTCAAAGTAGGACATAAGATCAATAAAGACATGTGGCATAAAACATGTCACTTGCTAAGGGTTCCTATTACTGTAATTATCTTGTGAAAAATGAAACAATATATCTTTCTAATTCCACTAAAGCATGTCAATCAACAGTTATACATTAATGCTACTCCAAAAACCATTAAAAGACAAAACTTGCTCTTCTTGAAAACTAGGATTCTCAATAATAGAAAAACTGGAATTAATTATTCACAGTCTGATAATACTTGCATCAGTAAGTACCCATCTTGATGACCTTAGGGAACTTGTTCTTTCTGATCTTTGCAACCACCCATCTGCTGAAGCAGTCCGCTCAGTGTTTTCCTCATTCTGAGACCCAAGTGAGAAACAGATTTGTCCCTCAGTATCATAAATAAAATTCTTTCTTTCATAGGTTATTCTCAACATTTCTCAATGCACATTTTTTGAAGGATATGGTCATTTTCTCCACAAATTTATCCTTCTTTTCTGTACTACTGGGGAAATTGTTAACATCACGCTGTAGATCTGAAATCTGTTTATTCATCTGGTCCAGATTTTTCCGCAAAATTTCAGCAGAAACTTGGTGAAGAAAAAGAGACAACATAGCAGAATAGTGGAAACAATTAATGTCAGTTAAAAGAGCAGTTTTTACTTACTGTAGTTATGTTCTCTAGGAAGCCAGGCAAGTATTCAAATATTCTTTGGACTATACCCTTTCATCAAATGAGAAGGTTCAGTCTGATGAACTTTACTTTATGGGAAAGTTTCTACCTGTACTCAAGTTGAAAAGGAAAGAAAACTCAGGAATGCTAAAATAACTCACAGTAGTGAGTAAAAATTAGGTTATGCTCCAACTTGGTATAAACCCTGAATCTTATGTAAAATGGGGTAATATAATGTATCTTTGAACTTATTTGAAATGTGCATTTCTAACTTGCCTTATTTCCAATTCAAAACTTTCCTTAGAACTCTACCTATCATATATAGACTGGAACTCCAGCATGCAATGGAAAGGGCAAGATGTTGTGCTATAGTGAAAATTTAGGATTTTTTTAAAGTATCTTTTGGCACTTGCTCAAGTAACTGCTTGGTGAGGAAGAAGTATTGATTTCATGGATTTGAAGGGCAAATTTCAAAGTCACTGGAGTCAGGCAGCATACAAATGTAATAATAAAAATAAATCATGGGGTGATAAGAGTGCAGGAAGTGAAAAGTTCTTTTTGAAATGACAAGAAATCCCAGCTACACTATTTGTATGCATTGCAAAAATCACAAGCCAGGGAAGCAGGCAATGCATAGTATTAGCAATCTGCTGATTCACTGAAGAGACATAATAAGTCTGCTTTTCTTGCAGCAAAGATGAGAAAGCCTGGCAACAAAGGTAAGAGTCAGGTTGCAACATGACAAAGACATTGCATATAGTCCCTTCTTTTCAGCTCACTCTCTAGCAAACTATGCAGGCTCCCTTGTATAATCAGAGATGGAACAAATATGACTTCACAATATTGTGTTTTTCAGAACCAGCATGCCTCATCCTCATTGATTAGCTGGGATATGGGAAGACACATTCAAAAAAGCTATCCCCTTAGTATATATGCTCAGAAATTGCAAAAAAAAATATAAAAATGTTGGCTTCATGTGTGACCTAAGGGCAGCGTTTGTAGGTAGAGCAGTGCAATAAAATGATGGGCTATATGAGCAAAGGAGAAGGCCTGAAATTAAAAGACAGGAGCATATATGACAGGAAGTTATATCATTCTACATAACTGGATTCTTTCAGTGATTAGCACTGATCATTTCCAAAGCTAACATAATAATTTTCATAATATTTGGATACTGCTTCCAGAGCATTCAAGACACTAAAAAAACATACCTGTTCAGAAAGTATTCAGACCCCCTTCACTTTTTTCAATTTTGTTATGTTGCAGCCTGATACTACAATCATTCAAATTCATTTTTTTCCTCATTAATCTACACTTAGTACCCCATAATGACAAAATGAAAACAGAATTTTAGAAATGTTTGTAAATTTATTAAAAAGAAAAAACTGAAATATCACATTGGCATAAGTATTCAGACCCTTTACAACAACACTTGAAATTTAGCTCCTGATACTACAATCATTCAAATTCATTTTTTTCCTCATTAATCTACACTTAGTACCCCATAATGACAAAATGAAAACAGAATTTTAGAAATGTTTGTAAATTTATTAAAAAGAAAAAACTGAAATATCACATTGGCATAAGTATTCAGACCCTTTACAACAACACTTGAAATTTAGCTCAGGTGCCTCCCATTTATCTTGATCATTGCTGAGCTGTTTCTCCACCTTAATTGGAGTCTACCTGTGGTAAATTAAATTGATTGGACATGATTTGGAAAGGCACATACCTCTCTATAGAAGGCCTCACAGCTGACAGTGCATACTATATCAGAACAGAAGCCATGAGGTCAAAGGAACTGCCTGCAGAGCTCAGACACAGGATTATCGCAAGGCACAGATCTGGGGAAGGCTACAAAAAAAATTCTGCTGCACTGAAGGTTCCCAAGA